TATCGGGCAGCGCCACACGGTCACGGTCTGTGGGGCCCTGCTCAGTGGGCAGGCGCATGGTGGGATTGAGTGGTTCCACTGCCACAAGACTCAGGCAGGAATTTTTGCCTGAGAGTCCTTGGCACTGGGTGGGGTCCAGCACAGCAGGTGGCACCTGGACAGGTAGGTCTTGGCCCAAGGGGAGCTTGCCAGCGTTCTTGGTCAGAAGGCCAGTGGCTGCAGGAGCACAGAGGCACAGGGGGAGGCGGCCCTGGCGACTGGCTCCGAGTATTTGCACAGGCGCCCAGCGGGCACTCCCAGGGGCCGGGCGTCTGAGTAGCCATCATTGTTTCTGTGAACTCAGCAATCCAGATTTTATAGACACCAGCAGCCCCAAGGAATTTGTGGAGTTTTTTCTGTAAGCAGTTTCTGCCAGGTGTTGGAGAAGAGTTTTCGTGTCTTTGCAGTAGGCAGCTTGGGTTTCATCAATCAGAAGTGCAGAGGAGATGAAGTAAGCTTTTGGTCCTCTGGGAGCTTGGGTCTGTGGTTAGTTGACCTCTCAGCCCAGAGCTGGGGTCTTTGCACAGAGGGGCTGGCTGACAGGAGCCAACTGCAGGCGGAAGCGGCGTTCTCGAGGCCCGAGCAGGTGTCCCGCAGGCTGTGGGTGGCAGAAGACCGAGGTAAAGTATGTGGAGGGCAACTGCAGCAGCTTTGGGCTCCGAGGTCCTGAGCTGGCTTTCAGGCAGGAGAGGTGGATGTCAGCAGTTTGACACTCTGTAATTGTTCTGTGTCTCGAAACCTCTGGATGTGTGGCTGAAGTTCTGGCCAAGTCTCCCGTGGCATGGGGTACTGTTTGATGCAGCTGAGGGCTGCCCTGTATGGAGTTTCATAACCAGAGGCAGGTGGTCGATGGCCCAATCTCAAGGCGCAGGGGACAGTGATAGAATGGTGCCTCAAAGGGACAGAGAAGCAGGCTGTCTCGGAGTGGCCAAATCTTGTCAGAGGCTCCCTGAAAATAGTGGGAGCACTCCAACATCCTTGTGGCAATTGAGTAGCAATCCAAAAGGCATATGTGAGCTGGAAACTGAGGAACGCAAGGTGGCAGCTGGGTGGCTGACAGCACAGAGATCTTGGCCAAGCCGACCAGCAGCCTGTCAGGCTGACGTGCAACTGGAGGCCTGTTTGTGCTTCCCGTGACATCTGACAGCAACGTGGTGTAAAATACAGCAGTGCCCTGAAGTAGCGAACAGAGTCAGAAGGTGTTGCTGACAGTCATCTCCAACTTTGGCAGGTGGGTACACAGGTGCAGAGCCAAGGTGGGAGTTCATAACCTTATGGCAACTGAGTCCACGTGAGCTAGACTCAGGATTTTCACAACTGAACCTTTGACAGAGGAAACTTTTGAGAATTTCTGTCGTGTGTGTGTCAGTTACTCTTCTCTCATTGTGGGACAAATACCTGACACTCACTCAAAATTGGGGAAGGAAAGGTTTGTCTAGCTCACAGTTACGGGGGCTTCAGTCCATACTCAGCTGGCTCCAAGGCAAAGCTACTCATGACCGAGAGCAGCCTTTCATGGTGGTGGCAAAGAGCAGAGAGCAAGAGCAAAAGGGAGAGTAGCAGCAACAATGGCAACAGAGAGCAAGGGTCCCTTAAGTTGCATTCAGGCTTTCCGCCCCAAGCTGGGTGTAGCACTCACACCCATAATCCCAGCACCACTCACACCCATAATCCCATCACCACTCACACCCATAATCCCATCACCACTCACACCCATAATCCCAGCACCACTCACACCCATAATCCCAGCACCACTCACACCCATAATCCCAGCACCACTCACACCCATAATCCCAGTGGATCATGAATTAATCACAAACTCTAGAAGTC